ACCATCAAGTTGTAAAATAATGACCGTCTGTCAGTAGGAAACTATATAATTAATGCATACTACATTCTTGTGGATTTTTTCCCTCTGGGTGACACTTAAAATTCTCTTCCTTTGATAGGAAGCTACAAATGAATGATGGAGTTGTAGTTAGCTGACAGCAGTGACTACACTGTTATTTTCAGTTATGTGCTGTTTTCTCAAATTCAAACCAAAAATTTCTGCTTTTATAGATATATTTTTTCCTGCTTTTTTCTGAGAAAATGAAGTCACTCAACTACAATGATGTGTTCAATATACGTCTTAAAAATCATAATAGAGACAAACTGAGAGTAAATTTAAAAGCAACTTGTTTGCATTTCATTTGGCCTCTAGAGCCTCCAGTGAAGTCCTGGTTCCACTGTGCTTGGCTTTGTAGCTACCATGATAAAAGTGGTTCCAGATACCCCCTACCTCCTACAGTAAAATTTGAGCTAAAATGCTGAGATGTTTTCTAGCAAGCACTGTGACACTGATTTCAGTGAGGCCAGGCTTTCCTTGGCCAAATGCCTCTTCCTGGGCATGTTTTAAGTACTTTAAAATACCTTCTTTTGAAAGATGGTCTTCTCTACATACAAACTTAATCATGATGTAAATAATCAGAGATATGAAGAGTCACAAACTGTTTCAAAGCAGAATTTTTCAAGCTGCTGAACATGTTTTACTCAGGCTGGCTGAGCTGCATGTCCAATGGCATTGAAATGGTCGTGGTTAAGTTCAAGACATTGTGAGTCTTTTAAAATGCTAATTTCTTTTAATATTCAGAAAAACCAATTGAAGTGGAGTTTATCTTGTCTAAAATAATGTTGGGAACTAGAAACATTGTTGACAACCGCTTTGGAGGGGTCCACCTTTTGTTCTCTACAAATAAATGCTACAGAATCTTCCTTTTATTTGCTGGACTTATTAAATACTTGTGTTGAAAGGAATTTTACTCTATAAATTGCTTAGGTCACTTCATTTGCTTTGGGATTTGTTATTGATTTTTATGTGGTTCAGGCTAAATTCAGCTGAAAAGTCATGTTCCTCATTTTAAGGAAAGAAAAAAGATGTGAGTTCCTGGGTTTTGTAGATGAAAACTGTGCAAGATTTTATAATCATCCCCAAAAATTAAAGATGAAGCGCTTACTTGTTTTTCCATGAAAATTTCCTAAAAGTCATGCCTTGTACTTTGCATGATCTATTGTAATGTTAAATAGAATAGCATTCTCAACTAAAGAAAGAAAATAAACTCCTGTGGTTTACAAATAAATCTCAAACATTTATTAATAATATTTAATTTTTTTGTGTCAATGTTATTTTTTTTTAAATGTTCTCAGTGATTAGACAGTACCTGAAAATAATTACTCAGTTTCACCTTTGCATATAGCATATTTAGGTTTTAAATTTACCTGCATGGAGCTAAGATAGCTTGATTAACATGACTGCCCAGGAGTGTTCAATTCCAGATTTTAAGAGTCAACAAATACTAGAAGTATTTGAAAAAATTTAATTGTGTATACATTTTTTTTCTGAACCTGAATTTTGAGCCAAGAGGGCTGAAACTTTATTATCACTCTCAATGCAAAGTGTTAAAATGCAGGACAAAAAGAATAATAATTCATATATTCGTTTGTGTTATTCAGTCTTTGTCTAGGATATGTAAAGGCTAGGAGTTGTGAAGTTGCAAAGTTCACTTTTGCAACAAAACAGTGCATTTCAGCAAAATGAGGACAAGAAAGCAGTTTTAATTCAATTTTTTTTTCATTATGTATTTAATTGGAGTTTTTGAAGCACTGACATTGTTACACTGTTGGATGCGGCTGTTCTCATCAGCTGGTCTGTTACAGCAGCGGTGCGACTTCGAACTTTGCTGTGATGAATAATACGGTACATAGTAGTTTTATCCTGATGTGTGAATTGACATTTCAAATATTACTTAACATTTCTTTGATGGTAGTCACAAGCTTTCCTTTCTGTATACTGTCCTCCATCTGCTTCCTTGTTTTCACCTTTTTTCCCCCCTTCTGTCTTACTCTGAGTCATCATCCATAAGGTCGCATTGTGTTTTGCTGTCACATACTGCTTCTTTGCTTTCTTGTTTCTTTGTGTCATGCCTCACATATTTGGTGAAGAAAACTTCTCAAATCGGGCTTTTCACGGTCCTGCAGCTTGCGTGATAGAGCCTGAGGTTGGTTGTCTTTACCAGTATCTTCTGCTGGAGGAAGGAGCAGACAGGGAAGGCACTGCTAGTAATATACTAAACATTGCATGAAACGCACAAACAGTGTGTTCCCTGTTCTGCACTTTGGAGGTCAAGCTCCTGAAGAAAGAAGACTACATCATAGAAAGTGTCGGGAATTTGATTCGGAAGCGAGGCAAGGAAGATGAGGAGTAGGAATGAGCTAGGTGTGATCTTTGGAAGTTACTGTCAGATGATCTCGTACTGTGAGTAGCTCTGGCTGTAGGTAGGCAGGAAGAGGTGGTGGAGCAGTGGCTGTAGCTGTCAGCGGTCACATGACTGTATAGATGGGAGTTGTCAAATGTACATCACTTATCATAACGCCGTTGTCATTTACAACCAGCCACAGAGCAACAGCTGCTGAGTTTAGCTCTTTTTCACTGTTCTGATTATTAAGAGGCAAGGCAGGGAGGATTTCAGAGATGACTGTGCAGTTAGCTGTCTTTTAGAAATAATTTTGTTAGAATGCCCTTTGTAGGCAAAGAAGATTATTTCATAGTTATTTTCATCTCTTTCCCATGGCAGGTTTATTTTCTGTTGTACATTTTCTGTTACTTTTTAATTTCTGAAGAGGCAGTGTATTCCAGTTGGGTTGAATAACTCTGAAGGAGATATATTTTTCTTGCGTCTAATTTAAATATATTCTTTAGTCATAGTTATGATTCCATTCCTTTATGTTTCTGATCTATGTGTGTCTTGTGAACAAGAACAAAAGTATTATTTGACCTGTAATATTTTTTAAAGGTGGGATGTACTTACTTGAATATTTTATTCTTTGTCTTAAGATAGTTCCTCTATTGTATTTAATTTATACTTTAAAAAGTTGGTGTTTTTCTTTACATATTCTCAAAGCAAGTATGTGACATTGACCAAAACCTTAGAGTTTTGTTATTTTTTTTTTAAAGTGGATTGATTTAAAAAGTGCTCAGTTCAAAGAGACCTGATTCCTGATGAATGCAAAGCTGGTGTTACACTAAGTGAGGATACTCTGCCCTCTTTATATCTCCCCCCCTCCCCAAATACTTAAAATTATTTGTTTCTGATAAGCTCTCTGGCCGCTTATTTTCCTTTATCTACTAATCCCTTGCATTTACTGTGTTCATATTTTTTTTTGTACCGTTCTCTTCTACACTCACATGTAGCAATTTGTATTCCCTTTTCTGTGTGTTCTTTTGCTTTTTCTTTCAATCCGCTCTGAAGTGTAAGGACAAATTCAGCAGCATTGCTTCTAAGCAGAAATGCTCTCTATATGGCGCTGCCTGCAGAATGAAACTCTCCAAGCACACTGATGATGTCACTCTGATCACTTCTAAACAGGAACATTTTACTAATTTAACACATTGGGTATCAGCTGTTGAAAAAGAAGTAATCTACTAAAAAAAGTCCTGAAACTTTAAGCCACCTGTTGGTTATTTCTTAATTTAGTACATTATTTTGTCTTTTTTGCATGTGTGAGGTCAGAATCTCTTGCCTCATGTTACCAAGCAGACCTGGAGCCTTTCCTATTGCTTGAGTGGAGATACATTGTCTTATGTATGGATTGTTATGACTTGTTTATACTATGTTTAACACATGGAAAAAAACCCTGTCTTTAGAGGGCAATAGCTGTAGTTAGTGGTGTCTTTGGCCATAAATACTGTCTTTAGAGGAAAAGATGGTTAACCTTCTTGTGGGATTTTTTTTCTTTATGCTTGCTCCAGTAAATGATCTGAAATACAAACCCAATTTTAAATTCCTTTTTTGCATCTAAGTTTTTCTTTTTTTCATTCTCTCTTGATGATCTGTGTTAAAGTATTTTCTATCCTAAAGAAACTAGGAGAATCATGGCCTTGCTTCCTCTGTATCATCAAAAAAGAAATGCAGAAAAGTTTTGCCCTCAGTTTTTGTATCTGCATATAGACATTGAAAATATTGCAGCACAGTTGTTTTAGATGTGGTTAAATATTTTATAAACAGTTGTTTGCCAACTTCAAATTTCATTTTATGTATTCAGATATAATACATTTTCAGCTTGAGTGTGTTTTATTTCTTAACTTCTCTAGACTAATAAGGGCATAGGGAGAAAAAGGAAGTAGTTACATGTATCGTAGAAGTATCCTGAAAGTTTCAGTTTGTAGCCTTAATTTGGGTGAAGAGTTTAAAATTTTAAAAGAAAAAATTACTACCATTTATGTTATGTCTGCTTTGACATCTTTTCCGGACAAGTTTTGAGGAAAAGGATAAGTAAATATAAGAGCTTAATGCTTTTTTGCAAGTTAGACAGAAGCATGGGGCTTTGGAACAGTATGTGATTACTTTGAACGTGCCACAACTTGCTGTATGCACCTGGGCCAATGACTTATGTACGCTCCAAGCAAGGAAAACACTCGATAAACATTTGGTACTACCTGGTAGGATTGGGACCCTATTATGTTTCAGCTCCCCCATTTGTAAATGGATGATGTTTGCCTAGATTATTGGGATGCTGAGAACACAAACCTGGACAGGGATCAGTACAGTTTGCTGCTGTTTGCCTGTCCCTTTTCTTTTTACATAGCTTCCCTCTGTCACTATGCTTTTGAGAGGTCTGTGTTACATGTATTTCTAAGAGCAGAAAATGATTTAACACTTACTTTTCTCCAGTGTTTTACATATTACATATTATGAACCATCCCCAAAGTGAAGTCTGGATTAAATGTCATGAACACATTTGAATCATGTGTTTGAATGAAAATGCAATCGTATCTTTATTTGTGCTTTATAGGAAGAAAAGGCTTCTCTCCTGCATCGTACTCAGGAAGAAAGGAGAAAACGAGAGGTAAGGTAGGCTGTAAGCGTTTGCATGCACACTGGATTTTTCTTTGATGTAGTAACATTTACAGTCCAAAGTACTTTCTTCTGCTGCAGTCGTACTTAGTTCAGGAATGTTTTGTTTCACTTTGCAAGTTCTACATAGTCTTCCAGTATACTAGAATTGACAAACTGTTTGACTGCTTTTAAGGTGCTTCCCAGAAGTGATTTTCATCTCAAAAGAAGGTAGTTAAACATGCACTGGGTGCAAAGGGAATTTTTCCTTTTATTTTGGTGCTCATTTGATCTAGTCTTTGTTGAGAAAAGACAGGTATTTGGATAGTAAATTGCATTATTTGCCTTGTCCATAATCTATTACTATGGGTTGGTCTCGGCAAACTGTCTTCTGCTCCTGGTTCTACTATGGTTTCTTGGATGACCTTCAGCAATTCACTTCCCCAGCGTGTGCCTCAGTTCTGTGGAGGTAGAATCAGAACAATGATACTTGAATGCATCCTAAAGTGCTTTGAAATCACCTGATAATTGAGGAGCAAGGAGAAGTAGTTGTGAGGCTGATGTGTGAGGCTTTAGGAAATCTTAACACTGGTCTGAGATGGAAGCTTATTGCCATGGATAATTCAGTCTGGAATAATGCAAAGGAGGAATAGGCATTGAAAGGAAAAATACCAGTTTTAAAACATCAATATATGTGGCAATATGAAAACAAAATTTAGTGATACGGAATTAAAGTGAATATGTTCATTTTGTCATTTTTTTCCCCTCTGATATGAGTAGAAAAAATTTGGTCTTAAAAATGATTTAAAAAGTGTAACTATGTAGTTTTCATGCTAATCAAGAAAACAGAGCTGTTTGCCCCTTAAAGATGTGTTTGATCCTTGATAGATTCAGTATGGGTTCTGCAGTGGCTCCTCTGTTTCTGAGGACAGTTACTGTATTTTTTTCTTTCCAACTTGAATGTATAATTATGGACCAAGTTTAAGTATGAAGTTAGTAGGATTTCACCAGTTAGAATGCTGTGTTATGAATCAAATTTATGATCAGGGAGTCCTTACCAACATAGGCAAAAAGACTTTTTTGCACTTCATAAACTTTTTGCCATATATCAAAATAACCCATTCAGTTGCTTAATTCTGTCTGCTGCAAAGCTGATGCAGAGTCATATACTCATATCTGTGTATGTACACACATACACACAACGATTTTCTGTGGCATGTATCAGATTCTCACAAAATGAATGGCTCCTCTGAGAATAAAATCAGTTATGGCTTTTAAAAAAATGCCTGTAGCAGAATCTTAGCAGTGACCTCAGACTTAAAACCTTTGCAGTTACGGATTGCTAATTGACAATTAGCAATTGTGTATTCTAGGATAAAACCTGTATCTAGAGAAAAGGAGAACATACCTACTTTCTAGTCGAGCATTGCATTATGATTATGAAGAGACAGTGCCTCTCTGTAATTGAAACTCTCTCCTGCTTGCCCCCATACTTTGCACTTCTGCTGTTAGGTACTTTGGAGAGAAGAATATCCTTTGGCCTATGAAAATTTTGATTTTGGTCCATGCTCTATAGGTAATTAGAGTCTTTCAAGTATATGCTTATTCAGAGAAATTGCTTTAGCAACCCGGGTTTCTAAGAAAAATAAAGTAGGCATTCGATAGCAAATTCATCTGGTGTTCCTCTGGTCAGTTCAGGTTAAGTTCTTAAGTTGGATGTGTTTATATGGCACAATAAATTAGAAATAAAGTCTTTGCGAGTTTATAAATTTCATTAAAATACATATGGGAAAGTTCACATAAACTTTCAAAACATTTTGGTGTTTTGTTTTGCTTGGTGGCCCTCGGAATTATGGGCTCATTATAGTTCAAGGATTGATTAGATTAAAGTTTCTCTTCTCAAAGCAGGCTTCTCTGATTGTTACTCTCGATCTTCCTACTTTGCCTTCCTCAACCACTGCTTCGTAGCTCTAAGTTCATGAGCAAGTATTTTATTTACTTCCCTCTTTCATCCCCTAAGAAACTATATGGACATAATTAGAAACCTAATTACAGTAGCCAGTTCCCTTAGATATTTATTGTGATAGGATATGCTGGGGGTGTTGTCACTCACTGAGTGTTGACTCACTGAGTGCTCTTTCCATAGTACCTGAAGCAAGCTGGCTTTCAGTTCCTCAGAAGGTGAGCCATTGTAAAGGGATGATTTTAAACTACTCTTTCTAGCTACTGAGGAAGACATCATAAAAGGACTCACTCTATATGTCTGGTTTGAAGGAGAGAGCAAGAATTTGTATTAATTTCCATATTGTCCTCCTGGGCTTAAAGCATTAAGCCTCATTTTCCTTTTGACAGCAGTGTTGTCTCCAAGTAACTGTTTGGGGTTTTTTTGTGGTTTGTTTTTTTTCCCCACTTCTAAACTGCACCAGCCTCATAATCCTGATACATTATTTGAGTGGAAACAAATAAGCAGGTCTTCAGTGTTAGCTGATCTATGCTGAAAGAGGAATGGTGTCATTGAATTTGATGAATTCTTCAACATTTTAGTATTAAGACTTTGTCTAATAAATTACAAATGTGTTTATTTTGATTTCTGTAGTATTACATACTTATTGAGTATTAAAAATTCTTTTGCAATATCTTAATGGTCAGTTTACACTTAAAAACATAAAAAGCTTTCTCCCTGGTTTATGAGTATTGGATGCAAACCTTCAAACGCTTTATTTTACTAATAATGAATGCTTAATTTTCATTAAAAAAATTCCTTTTGAATACAAATATATTTGACAAAATTGTAGAAATTGGAGTCAGTTCCACAACGTTGATTTCGATTTTCTTGCTTCTGTTTTGCAGGAAGAAAGGCGGAGGCTGAAAAATGCAATAATAATCCAGTCATTTGTAAGAGGGTACAGAGACAGAAAACATCAGGTAAGTACTTATTTATTTAGAAAGATGTAAAACTGTTTTGCTGAAAATGAGACTTTCTAGTAATAAATAATTCAATTGAAAAATCTTCACCTTTTTGAGTATTGTGTGTGCCCAGAAAGTGCAAGTTCTTTTTCTCTCTTGATGTTTTTATTTGAACCTCAATATTTTAGTAGATGGACGTTTATTCTGCAAAGCATGTATGTGACAGTGGACTTCAGTGGGATTACGCAATGTTTTTTCTGAGCTGACTAAGTGTATGAAAACAGTTAGGTATTAGCAGCTTTCACACACCAGTGGAGCTTTTTTTTCCAATATGACTAAGGTGGTAGTTTGAGTCAAAAAGATGTTCTTTCTAAGCTGCTGTTGGGTAGATTATTCTAAGAAAGAGTTGTATCTGTTTAAATTTGCTAATATTTATTGAGTAAACTAGATGAAAATGTTTGATGTGATATTCTTTACTTGAATAACAACACATTCGTTGCAATGTGTACTTTTTGAATTACAGAAAGCAATTATGGCTTTAACTATGATATTGTATGTATGTTTTGATCTCTTAACAAATGTGTTGTATTCATTTTACTACTTTGCTACCACTTTGGATAGGAAACTGAAATGAGGATTTTAAAATTTTGCATCTGTTTTAACTCATAACCATTATTGATATATTGATGCATGTCTTATTTTTAATTTTTAAGTACTCTATCCAAAGAAGTGAATTTGATCGCTGTGCTAATTTGGCCCAGTCTGGAGGAACCTTTTCCACTGCTAATGGAGCTAATTTGACCCTTCTAGTTCGTCAGTTACTCTTTTTCTATAGACAGAACGAGGATTCTAAGCGTTTGGTGAGTACTGTTACGTACTTTGATCTGTAGTGCTTTTATTTCATGCACTTTTAAAGTATTCTTTCACTTAGAAGATTTTGAAGGGATGCAAAAAAGGCTTTGACCACTTCAGTAAATTCATTTAAGAATTCTGGCTTTTGCTGGCCTGCACTTTCCTGTACTCTGCTGTTTTTGTTTAGAAAGAATAACTTAAAATTAGATTTTATATGTGCACACACACAAAGTCTGTGAAATGAAGCCTTGGAAAATCATGTGTGTATTATTCACAGTAATTTATTAAAAATAATATACTTCTATTAGAATTGAATTTTTAAACAATATTTTCCACTTAGCTTTCTGGTCATTCCTAAGGTGTTTAGTTGTTTTTTTTTCCTCACTGGTCAATAATGCTGGTGTATTAATTGCAAAGTCACTGCAAACTTCCCAAATGTACAAGTAAGTATGATTCATAATGGGTACTAATAATGGACATTAAAGAATTATGGCTATTTAAAAACAAAAAATTAACACATAAATTTGCTGCAAAAGTAAAGTTATTTCTTAGTGTAATTCACTCTTAACTTTCAAAGTTTAGTACTAATCATGTAGTTTGTTGTGTAACAATTTTTTCTCAGCTGAACATGATTGTCTTACTTTGTGTTTTGTAAGTCCTCCAAAGGTATCCAAAGCAGGATTGCAATATTACTGTCTGTGTTGCAATAAATTTATAACCTGTTGTTATAAACAGTAAACTTGTGCATATCTTTTCCCAGATATGGATGTGTCAGAATTTAATTAAACAGAGTTCTCAGTTTGTTAAGCAATTGGATGGTCCAGACAGACTTACTTGCTTATTCCAAATAAAAAGACTGTTGGGGCTGTGTTGCAGGTAAATTCTTTTTTTCTATGTGCTACTGTCTAAAAGACGTTCAGAAATTATGCTGGGTACTTGTTTGTTTCTTTTTGCAGCAGGTGAAGTATTAAACGTAAATTTATTTTATGGAGAGGACTGTTTATGTTAAATATATATGTAGGCCACGGTATAGGATACTTGTTTCTATGTAAGAACAATGGAATGTTCTTAAGCTCCATTGACTTTCAAGTTCAGCATGTGCTTAAGGGATGCCCTGTCTAGGGATAGGCTTAAGTATGTTCTTAACTGTTTGCATATAGCGATATCAATAGCAATATTTGTGGAAACTAGAAGATTTTCTTGGGAACTGATGGTGATTAGAAGGTATTATCCGAGTTAGACTAATGTTCCAAGGATATGCTTTGGATATATTTTGTTTTAAAACTAGTATTATTTAAGATGCCTTTCCTCACACTTTATTTTGAATTTAAGGCATGTTAAGCAGTTACATTACTGGCTTCAGCAGTACATTTATTATTTGTAGCGGAAGGATCCTGGGAGTATCACAGGAAGGTAAATCTTATCAAGGCGACTTGAATAGCTGGCAGCTAAAGCCTGGTTTTAGAAAACAATATATTTGCTCTTATCAATAATGGGAACTAGTTATACTCTCCAGAGCTTTAAAATAGGTTTTTTTTTCCTTTTAATGTTGAGGCTTTTTTAGAAAATAGTTTCATTCAAGTCACTGAACCTTGTGTTCTTATAATTGTGTATACTGTATGTATAATAAACAGTGACACCAGATACTAAAGAAGACTTGAGTGGTGGGCTTCAAAGTCCATGTACAGTGGAACACAGCTGTGGTGTCACTGGATTGAATTGTACATTTTCACTACAGTTGAAATTGTGATTGTGTAAATGCAGCTCTCAGTATTCCCACTCTCCCTTCATGACTGGGTGATGTGGGGAAACAAAAGGAGTGGAAGAGCTGTCCCTGCCTATACGTACAGGGAGAATGTAGGAAGAAGCTCTTCTTAACTTTACCTTGCCAGCATGATGATGGGTGTCTATACTTGCTTTCTGAGCTACTTTAATTTTCTGCAAAAGCCCAGAAAGCGAGCAGTGGGACAGGTAGCCAAAAAAGTGTTTCCCTGGGATAAGTTCAGATTCATGAGAAGCTGTAGCTTTTGATGCTATGGAAAAAAAGGTGGCTGTGTAATACCGTAGCAAAAAATGGTAGCTTGATTGCAGCTATATCTGCAAAAAAGGTCTTGTTGTCAGAGTATCTTTTTCTCTGTTTAGCGAAATGTCTTAGCTGTGGTGTCGAAATAATTTTTGCTGATAGGTCCTATTTTTCTGAATGGCTGGGAAAGCAAGCACATTGTTAGGGCAACTATGCCTATATACATCTCATACTAACAAATCCTTTTAATTTTAAACAGGCTCTTAATCTTCACCATTTCTGTGGTTACTGGTAGTTGTTTCATAACCAACTTGCTAAAAGGATGGGAATGGTTGTATTTTTAATATTTCAGTCCATGATCACAGATGTACTGTTTTAGTTATACATATGACGTTCCCCAGTGTTTGTTCCGAGCCCATATTGCTCTGGGGCTTTCATGGCTTCATTTTTAATATGGGTAGTAATACATGTTGGAAAAACATGTATTATTCTTTGTTTCTCTTCCAGTTTGTGCAATAGACCTCCAAACTTTCAAGTCATTGAAAGCAGGAATTTAGTAGGATTTAAAGAGAGAGTGCCATATTCATAGAAACCCTAAAATAGGGAATTATTATTATAAAGGTGCCAATAGCAAGATGTAGCTAAACTACTGAGAACACTTTGGAATCAAGTAGAAATAAGTTATTTTAGGGTGAATGTGAAAGGTTTTTTGTAGTTTTATTTTTAAATCAGTGTACATATGCCTGTGGTGAAATAAGAGAAATATCTTGTTAAATAATTTTGATTTCATTTCATTTATAGGCTATTGCAAAATTGCAGTGATGACAGTCTGAATGTTGCACTTCCTATGAGAATGCTTGAGGTATTTTCATCTGAGAATACGTATTTGCTTGTTTTACAAGATGTCAGCTATGTGACATCATTAATTGAACAAATTTTGCACTACATGATTCAAAAAGGTGAGTAGCTAGGAACTAGAAGTTCTGGGAAATACTCAAAAATAAGACAGAATGTGTAATACCATGTTGTTTAATCACAATTTTGCTTTTACCACAGACACGATGAATTAGGTGCTGTGTACACTACCCTGTACACTGGGTGGATATTTTGCTTGTAATGAGATCACTGCTTGAGAAATTACTGTTTGATTTCTTTGGAAATTCTGTTTATAAACTGAATATTCTACCAAGTTACTTTTACAGACTTTCACCACTGATTTTGAGAGTAGGTGGATATTACCTAACAAAGTTTTATTCCAGTAGCTGTTTACACACACACACACATGTGCACACGCACACACGCTGTGGCAGATCTAAGCTTTAGTTGGGTGAAAGTTGGGCATTGTGTTGCAGTACTGTTCTCTGTAACTGCCAACGTTCATTATTGTAAATTGGCATTACCTTTTCATCCTGCTAACACTAGAGACACCTTAGCAAAGAGATGGTGACCTAGCTTTTATTTCCCTTCTACCATCATCAGCAAAACTGTTTGCTAAACTGCAATCAGTTACACCTGTGCAGACATACTGAAAGTTAATGAATTGTGTAGTTATCACCAAAATTACATTTTGTCTCGAAGAAACTTTATTACTCCGGGAATGTGCGAAAAAATTAATTTGGCTTTCTGATACCATAGCTTGAGTTTGCAAGACTTGTGGATGGGGAGAAAAGACAAAAACATTATGAAACAAACATCTTGGATGCAGCTTCATTGGTATAAAACACAAAAAGAGCACCTTCCAATTTGTTAGTTAATTGTTGGAATAATTCTATGTAAGTTTTAAAGTACATTCAGTGGACTAGGCTATCTTATCCTGTTACTACGGATTTCGTTTTAACTACTACATGTTGAAGTCATTATGAGAAAAAAAAATGACTCTTATTGTAGCACATTTATTTTACCTTCCTAGGCATAGCTAAAACTATAGAAGTATTTGTGTTTGTCTCATTGCTTACTATAAAATAAATATATCTTCCAAAATACTTATATTTGTTCTTGTAGTATAATATTCAGTCCTCGCAACTTATATGTGGAAAATTTATCAAGATGTTAGATCATAAATTTTAGGAAAAAAATTCAGCTTTCTGATCACTTAAACTGAAAACAAAAAGAAGTGGTTGAGTGTGACTACAAATGTTCTGTCTCCTAATCATTTATGATGGTTAATTTGTAAAGAATCTGTAATGAGATTTTATTAGTATATGTTTTTGCATATAATTTGTCTTCCATGTGCGTCTTGTCAGTGTTGCTCAGTTATTCCTTTATGGTGACTTCCACTTCTTGCATTGTATGTCAGGTTAGGTAGTCTCTGACAAAGGGTCTTAGGCTGGACCTCTCAATGATGCGACACTATTTATGCATTTACAGTGGTTCCTGTAGTCAAGGAACCTGCATCTTAGTTTAGGAGTTTATTGAGCAAGAGGAAGTTGGTTTAAGAAGAATGAAATCACGTGATTCCATTTGTACTTTAGCGAGGCAAGAGTAGATTACCCTCTACACGTCTTTATGGCTTGGGTGATAATGCATTACTGCCTGAGACACCCCTGTTTTGGAAACAGTAATTGTATTCTTCAGCCTGCTATGGCAAGGTGTTTATAGAATTGAGACATTCTGCCAACAGGACTCTTGCCTGTATGATGCAGTCATGTTTTAGAGGAGGAGGGAAAATTCATCATTTCTGAAAGGGTGGAAGGACAGCTGTCAAAAACATGACTAGAGTCACTCAGTGGAGAAGAGAACATCTTTTTCATAGGTCATTGTTTAAAAAAATGAAATTACTCACTTCATCAGCAGGAGTGATCGGTCTTTGAAAATCAAACTGACTCTCTGAATGCAATTATCTATCTATGATTTTATAAAGTGATGTTTCCGAAGAGTTGCTGGTATATCCTGTTAGTTATGTGAATGTGACTTGGACTGTTGTAAAATGTCTTCCTAAGTAAAGTTTCATGCAATGAATTGTAAAGTATTTTTCAAATGAATGTTAAGTATGTAAGTTGTTTTATACGGAAAAGAAGAAAAATAATACTGTATTTAAAAAGTGATCTGTCTTATTTGCAGGCTTCTACAAGTCGCTTTATTTGTTAATTAACAATAAGCTTCCCTCGAGTATTGAGTATTCTGATGTTTCTCGAGTCCCTATTGCAAAAATACTTCTGGAGAATGTTCTGAAGCCATTGCACTTTACATATAGCTCCTGTCCAGAAGGTGCAAGGTAAATAAAGATAATATTGGATATTTGTATACCCATTTGTTATTGTCAGAGGTGTGCAGTTTGTAGTTGTTGAGTGTCCAGCTATTCTTTCAGTGCAGTTTGTTGATTTATTTGCAATAGTAATGATTTTTTGGTAATGCTGCGGATCGATGAAACACTGTAGTTTCAGATGTGTTTAAGAAAAAGGCAATAAAATGCTGAAGACTACAATGAACAGAGCACAGAGAATAGCAGGTATCACAATACGTAGGAACATAGGTGTGGAAAAACTTAGATGAGAGCAGACGTGAAGCTGAGGGCAAACGAAAAGAATTTTAGAGTTAAAACGAACTTTGTGACAGGAGCTGAGGCTTATGGAGCGAAATAGAACTAAGTCATAGCTTACAAGCAGAAAGAATCAGGTATGTAGAAAGATGGAACAAAAATTCTGGTTGTATCACGTGATAGTGTTTTATGTTAAAGTAGTATTTTTGCGGAAAAAAGACTGCTTTTTTCATTTATTTTTTTATTTCAAGATTATAAACACTGAATTTAACTTCAGAATAGTTTTCTGTGAGTTCATGAAAGGTTTAAAGGATAAAATTACATATAAGATCATCAGGAAAAGGATGTAGTATAAGTTCATTTTTGAGAAATCTGAGAAATTTGGTTTATTAGCACAGGATTAACGGAGTGCATCTTTGCAGTCGTCTTGATGGATGTGTTCAAACTTGCAAATTGATCTGTTATTCCATGGATATAATTGTGGGAAATTTTGCCTATATTTTCTATAAAGACAATTTTTCTTCATTTCAGGCAGCAGATTTTTGCAGCCTTCACAGAGGAGTTTCTGGCAGCACCTTTTACAGATCAGATACTCCATTTCATCATTCCAGCGCTTGCTGATGTGCAGACCGTTTTCCCTTATGAACTCTTTCTGAATGCACTATTATTAGCAGAAAGCGGATGTTCAAGAAGAAGTGATCAAGCCCCATGGCTTTTTTACTTTGTGTTAACAGTTGGAGAAACATATTTGGGTGAGAAAGCTGAATGGCCAATTCATTGTTTTCTCATATTTGAGTTAATACATTACGTGTTTCCACAACGTGGTTCATTGCCAAGCAAAAAGGACAGTTTGTGCATAATTGGAGAGAGCTGTTTTATTAGCTATTCTTACTCTTTTCAGTAAAAAACACGCTTAATTTGGGAAGATTTGGCATAATGTGTTTTGGTCAGGTATTTCTGGTAAAATATATTTTATAGTACAGTGTGATCTGGCTAACGATCTTTTATTTCAATGTATGTGCTACAGGATCCCTTTCAGAGGAAGGACTTCTTGTGTATTTGAGGGTACTCCAAACTTTTCTCTCTCAGCTGCCTGTGTCTACTGCTGGTACAAATTGTCAAGATGCAAACAGTGATTCTGAAGATGAGGATGAAGAGATCAATAAAATGACAACTACACCAGTAAGCAGTACAGAATTTCTTTGAATGAATTTGTATTATAGCAGCAGCAAATATAGGCAAAAACATGATCACCGTAAGTCTGGTATTTTTCTAGCTACCTGTAGAAGGGAGCATGTTTACTTCTTAAAAATAGATGGCTGCTCACTGTAAGCAAATGGAACTGGTTGCTTACATTAAAAACAAAACCCTTAGTATAATAAAAAAATCTTAAAGTACAGGTAGTGTGTCTGCTGAAGGACAGAGTTTTTCTTTAACGAAAAAAGTTTAAACTTCTCTTCTTTAAATTTGTATTTTACAGAGACTCTCTGTATTCTTTAAGTCCATGATGATGCTAAGATACCATGAAACATACCAATCTGATCTTCCAACTTAGTATTTTCATTTTTTTTCTCATGGAAATATTACAAGTTCAGCTACAGTCTTTACCCTGTAGAATTAGCTCTGTATTTAAATATATCCACTACCTTGAAAGCTCTCAAAGGGGGAATACCTGCTTTCTATAATAATGTATAGAGACTGTATTATAAATAGAACTTTTCGCTATAGTTTAGACTTCCACCAGTAAAAACCATGCTGACTTTAACCTCCTGACACTTGGATCAAGGCTTTGAACAACCAAAGCTGGAGAGATGTAAATTCAACAGTTTCTTACTGGCCTTTATATAATCTCTCAAAAGACACTACCATTCAAAGGACTTCGGCAGTGTGCAGTCTTTCCTTGTGGAACGTGTGAAATTTCACCGTATTTAGGGTTCATTTAAAAAAAAAAAAGTCTCATAGATTATTTTGCCTCCCCACGCTGAGCTGGGAATTCTTGGTTTCTGTCTCTCAGGCATTCTAAGGCTTCCTGGCATTTTCTTGGTTAAGTGTTGAAAGCAAAAGCGTACCAGCTCTTCTAAGAGATACTATTCCTATAATGCTTACTTACATTTCATGTAAGGTGATGTACATTTCTGAAAGATGCAGCATTTTTAAGACCTCAATACTGAGAGTAACCTCTTATAAAGAGCCATACTGCTGGGGAATACATGCAGCCTTTTACTTGTGCATTTTTAGATGCAGTGTGTTACCGTTGCCCCAAAATCTTTACCAAGATAGTGTGAATAAAATATTTAATTTGCCAGACACACACACACGCTGTCTGAGATGTAAATATTGGCAGATTCTACTTGTGTCTTAGAGATGGTGGTGGTGTTTAAGAGGCAATTAGGTAAAAACAAAACGTAAATTTATGTTCACAGGTAACTTACAGTAATTTGTAAATTAGAGAAAATCTGCTCTGAGGAGGCTTTAATACATAATACTATTTATTGCAGTATGTTTTTCGTGTGTTTCTCCTGTGAGTTTTTTATGTATTCCATATTTTCATGCATGCCTGTCTTACAAAAAAAAAAAAAGGGGGGGGGGGGG